GTCTTGAACAGACAGACTATGTGAAGGAGGCGAGTGATTGCACGAGTTAGTGACTTCCATGAAGAGAACTTTGCAAATCGCTGGGAACCAAGCTGCTTGGATGATGTTTTCGTGCTTATAGTGGACACTAGGGGCCGAACATCTGGGTCTGAACTTTGATCAACAAGGTCATGAGCGCATTCAGAGCTACCTGGCTCTGGTATGGACAGAAGTTTGGGTCCGCTCAGCCAATTGGTGTCTTTTAAGTGGCCTGCGGCGACAGAACATGTTGCATGATCTGCAGGGTCCTGGTCTGTTGGCACATAGCGCCACTGTCCTGAATGGGAGTATCTTCGGATACGTAGTACCCGATTGCTGACATAATCATAAAAGCTTCTGGTTTCATTACAAATATAGCCCAGAACCACCTTGCTGTCTGAGTAGTAGGTTACAGCATCAAGTGGAAGGTCCAGTTCTGCTGAGATCAGGTCTGCTAATTCCACAGCAAGCACAGCTGCGCAAAGTTCTAGTCTTGGCACTGTGTGCTCAGGGCGGGGGGCCAGTTTGGCTTTACCCATTACAAACCCAATATGATTACCCCCACCAGCATCTGTGACCTTTAGATATGCCACTGCAGCGATAGCTTTGCTTGATGCATCACAAAAGATGCATAATTCTCTTCTGACAGCTGCTGAGGTGGAAATTTCAGTATAGAGTCTGGGGATGGAAAGATTGGACAGTTCTGTCAAAGACGCTCTCCATGACATCCAGGCTCCCTCCATTTCTTGAGGTAATGGCGCGTCCCAGTCACCATTCTCAGTAGTGAGTTCTCTCAGTATAGCCTTGCCTTGAATCGTGACTGGCGCCACAAAGCCAAGCGGGTCATAAAGGCTATTGATAGTGGATAGGACACCCCACCGAGTTCTAGTTCTAGTCTCGGCACTGTGTGCTCAGGGCGGGGGGCCAGTTTGGCTTTACCCATTACAAACCCAATATGATTACCCCCACCAGCATCTGTGACCTTTAGATATGCCACTGCAGCGATAACTTTGTTTGATGCATCACAAAAGATGCATAATTCTCTTCTGACAGCTGCTGAGGTGGAAATTTCAGTATAGGGTCTGGGGATGGAAAGATTGGACAGTTCTGTCAAAGACGCTCTCCATGACATCCAGGCTCCCTCCATTTCTTGAGGTAATGGTGCGTCCCAGTCACCATTCTCAGTAGTGAGTTCTCTCAGTATAGCCTTGCCTTGAATCGTGACTGGCGCCACAAAGCCAAGCGGGTCATAAAGGCTATTGATAGTGGATAGGACACCCCACCGAGTGTAGGGGTTAGCCTCATCAGAGACACTAAAGAGGAAACGGTCCATTTGGAGGTTTCAATTGAGACCAAGACTGCGTTGCACTGGGAGTGTGTCTGCATTGAGATCCAGGTCTTTAAGTCCAGTTGCATGATCTCTGGAAGGAAAGGCCTCCATTACCTCTCTATTGTTTGCTGCAATCTTATGCAGCCTCAGGTTTGATTGGGAGAGAACGTCCTGTGGCTTCTTTAGCAGGTTGACGGCTGACTTTAGACAGGGACTTCAGACCGTCATCTACGTAGAAGTCACGCATCACAAAGTGCTTAACGTCAGGGTCGACGTGGAACCCGTTGACCTGAACAGACTGGTGTAGGCCATGGATTGCCACCGCAGGCTAGGGGCTATTTCCAAAGACGTTGACTCTCATGCGATAATCGACAATGTTCTTAGAGAGGTCGTTGTCTTGGAACCAAAGAAAACGTAGGAAGTTCCTGTCTTCTTCTCTTACCAAAAAACAATAGAACATCTGTTCTATGTCTGCTGTAAAGGCAACTGCTTCTTTCCTGAAGCGGATCAGTATTCCAAGCAGAGTGTTGTTCAACCCAGGTCCAGTTAATTGCACATCATTGAGTGACACACCATTGTATTGGGCACTAAAATCAAACACTACTCTGATTTGCTTGGGTTTCTTCGGATGGTAGACTCCAAATGTTGGCAATTATTTTTCCTCTTCACTGAGAGGAGGGGCTAACTCAGCATGGCCATTTTTAAACATCTTGTCCATGAAACTGAGGAAGTGATCCCTCATTTCAGGCTTCCTCTCAAAGTTGCGCCTGAGAGACATGAGACGCTTCAGTGCTTGGGGCCTGTTGTTTGGGAGCCTTGTACGTGGACTCTTAAAGGGTAATGGTGCTACCCAACTGTTGTTTGAATCTTTTCGTAGTCCTTCCTTCATTATTTTCATGAAAGAGGCATCCTGGATTGAAAGAGCCACCTGATTGTCGTCTTCAGTCTGCTTAAATACAGTGCAACCCAGGTGGTCAGGATCAGAGCTGGATTCATTCATAGGATGGGATGGAGGGTAATTGGTTACCTGGATGTCACTGTATTTTTCCTTAACATGAAACACGTTAGGGCATGGATCAAAGAGAGTAGGCCGTTTTAGCTCCGCGGCAATTGTGTGGAAGGTGCTAATCGTCAGCGGCTTGTGAACATTACCCAGACAGACGTTACCTACAATGACCCACCCCAAGTCCAACTTCTGTGCGTAGGATAGGTCGTGAGAGCCGTTCACCTGCTTACGGACTTTATGAACTCTGATAATGTCTCGACCTAAGAGAAGCATAATTGGGGCCTGTGGGTCGATGTCTGGGATGAGGTGTGCCAATGACCTTAGGTGAGCATGATGGAGCGCCACGTCGGGGGTTGGAATCTCTTCTCGGTTGTTGGGAATGTCATTGCATTCTATGAGGCTTGGTAACGGAATGCAGACAGTTCCATCAAGGGATTCCACTACATAGCCACTGGCCCTTCTTCCTGCTGATTCCTTTACTCCAGCACATGTTCTCAACGTGTAAGGAGCACTTGGACTTTTGTCACTGAACACTTCAAAAAACTGTGAGCAAACTAGCGACCTGTTGCTCTGTTTGTCCAGGATTTCATACAGTTTAACTGCTTTGTCTCTCTGTTCAGCTGGATAGACCTTTACAAGACATATTTTGGAGCAGGATCGACCTGGCAGATCTCCGCCGCAGACTTCTGTGCATTTGGTGGTAACACGATGTTGAGGTGAGGTTTCCTCCTGCTCCCCGCCGTGTTCAGCAGCAGGCTCCGCTTCTTTCCTCCAGGGTGCAGGTCCAGGGTGAAGCACTGTGTGATGTCTCTCACTTTTACATTCTGAGCATTGGACTTTAGCTTCACAGTTTTTTGCAATATGTGCTGATGAAGAACAGCATTTAAAGCACACATTGTTCTCTTTCAAAAAGGTCTTACGAGCTTCAATGGGCTTTTCTCGGAATGCACGGAATTTATGTAAAGGGTACAGTTTTCTGTGGATAGGACACAGCTTATCACAGTCATTTGACTTCGTCTCGAGCTCGCTATTACAAGTTACTTTGTTAAATAACTCTGTTTTGTGGACATAGACTTCATGTTGTTTATTTGGCTTCCAAGATATCTTCTCTGCCCTTGTAGCCATGTCTGCAGTTATGAAGTTGAAGCTTGGATCATTCTTAATGCGGGCCTCCTGACTAACAAAGTCTGCAAAGTAAGCAAAGGGAGGATAGAGGACATGATTTTGCCGCTTGTAGGATGAACAAACTGATGCCGATTTCTCTTGCAGAGGAAAAGGAAGTTTCTCTACTATTGGGTTGACGCCTCGCTGTGTCAAGGAAAGGGAGGCCAGGCAAGTCTCCTTTGTCCTTAGCTGACTTAAGTTCCATTAGTAAATCACTTAACTTTGTTAGTTTAGGATAATCTCGATTTGTTATTTTTGGAAAGGTGTCGATTTGTTTGAACAGAGCATCTTCTATCACTTCTGTTGAGCCATAAGTTTGCTGGAGTCTGTCCCATGTCATTGCCAACCCTGCTTCAGGATGGTTGATGTGAATTGCTCTTATCTGTTCAACATGTTCTGCTGACTCTTTGCCAAGCCACTTAAGCAGAAGGTCTATCTCCTCGCTTGGCATCAGGTTTAAACCACTGGTTGCATTCTGAAAGGATCGTTTCCAGGCTCTGTAGTTCTGAGGTTTGTCATTAAATTGAAGTGAACTGTTGCTACGAGCTCACAACGAGCAAGGTATCTTACAAAGTCGTTCATGTTCGAAATGCTGCACAGGAGTGGCATAGTCACTGTTGAATCCAACTTTGTGTGACTCATGGACATCTCCGTCTTCATAGATGTAAGGATGTTGTGAGGTTAGATGTGGTGATTGGGAAGCAGCATTGGTTTTGTATGGAAAGAAAGGTTTGGCTTCAGGTTTGAGATGTAAAGGTGTAATACTGTAGCTGGGATTTGGCTCTGTTTTTGTTGGGAGTCCATCACATAGCTTGAGTTCTGTATCTTGTACTTTGTTTCCCAGATAGCAAAAATCATGTGGCCCAGATCTGGCCCAGATCCTTCATAAGTTCTGGGCCAGATCTGTAAAACGGACCCGGGCCGGTGTCCTTTAGCACAACGGGCCAATGCTGGCGCGGATCCGGTTTTCACATCTGGGCCGGCACTGGTCCAGCTCCAGAACGGATGACAATTATTATGTAGTCATTTGGCCCAAATGTGGACCAGTTCCATACTGGATCTGGTCCAGAGTCTCTAAGATACTGTTGAGGATCCGGTTTTCACATCTGGACTGGCACTGGGCCGGCACTGGGCCAGCTCCATTTATTAGTTCTGGCCTCTTTCATAACCTTGATCTATACCCACAAAACATATACAAAAATGTGGATTTTTTTGTTATGGCAGGAGCTGGTCTATATAATGTATAACAAATAGTGACTTGTATATCACTAAGGTACACTAAGATTTCTTGTTTTACTTTCGTTTTCTTTTTCCTTGCATTTTAAACTCGATTACTTTTTTCTTTTGAATTTAAAAAGCATGGACAGTCAAAACTACTGTTACACTCTGTTACAAAGACTGTTTCTATTTGTCCTACACAGAATTTCAACAAAGAAAGTGATAGAACGGATGAGTGACACATTTTAAATTTTATTTAAAATGTTTGAGATAAAAAGAGCGGACAGAAACTTAAAACAAAGTAGATAATTGCCAAACTAACAATCAATCTAATAAACACATTTTACAGCTCATTTCTGTCTTTAACAACTGTAGGAACAAGAAACTTCACTCCAGTTGACTTGCAGGTGACAATTAGTTTCTAGTAACTGTACAGTAACCACACACCTATGACACAGGTGTTATTTTTAAATGAATGCAGAAGTATTAAACTCTAATAATAGCAACAGTGTGGCTTAGTTAAAAAGCTCAATACATTGACATTGCTATCAGTCTTGCATAGTGTAGTGTACCGTTAATAATGATGATGGTAAGAAAGTAAGATTTCTTTCTCCCTGAGAAACATATAAAGCTAAAGCCAGGAGACACACGAGTTTCTACGGCCTAAACACACAAGATAACGTTTTAATTAGCGACAAGCAATAAGTTTGTCTTGATAGATGATTACTGCCAGCCATTTAGATTTTAACCATTTTCCATGACCCTGGTATAAATAACAAAGATTTTATAGCCAAAATACAATATCCAACTCCAACTAGTCATGTGAAACCCTGAAAAAAATGTAAAATGTTCATACACATTGTTTGGTGGCTTTACGGGAAACATTGATGAGGCAAGTGGAGAAGTGGGAATGCCATAACCCTCACATGACACCCAACAAATCATCAGTAGTGGAAGAGTGGGGGATGGCCCATGTGTTCATTTCTGCAAAGGATAAAAGAATGGGTGATTACTCAACTGATAATGGCAATCACAAATTACATAAAATCCACAGAGATTAGTCATTTTAAAGGGGGCTGGACTAGACTAGGGCTGGAAGATTTGACCTAAAATCAAAATCCCAATTAAGTGAACACCGCGATTACAACTAATGAATGATTATTTAGTTTTTTTTGCCCTCCTAGTTCACTGACCAGGCTTGTACCGCAAACATGCTCAACTATTGTAGGTGGGGTGGTTTTTTAGACTCACAAATGTCAGAATGTACTCCCCCTAAATTTGGCATATCGCCACTGCTCACTGAATGAGTGCCGCTACTAATATTTCACATGATCAATTAATATCAATGTGCATTAATCTCGTGTAACAGTGTTGTGTGCATGTGACCAAATGTGAGAGAGTGAGCAGCTGAAAGTGACGGTGAAAGTGAGCAAGGTTGTTGTAAGTGTGGCAGTAAATGATCAGTGTGGGTCAAAGTGTGTTCATAAATAAATGCTGCTGGAAAATTAAGGCAGTTAGCACTAGCTAACATCTCCCTGTGCTCCAGACTCTGGGGGCTGAGCAGGAGAGGGCGGAGTCACTGACTACACACACACAGTTTTTTAAGGGGAAAGTACATAAACACACACACTGGGGGACATTTTAACAGGAAATAAAACAACTAAATAACTGAAATGGTAAAATTACAGCCGTTAGAGCTCGGAATTTGGGTTTCAATTACTTCAATTAGACGTCCAGCCCTAGAGGGGAGACATCATGGAAAACTCCCCTTTTCTCTCCCCATTTGGGTATCAAACTGTGAAATAAGACGACCCAGACAGATTTTTGTGGGTTGCCTAGATCACAAAACATGTGCTTCAACAAGCCATTCAGATTTGGTTCTCCTTCCTATGTCACATGCAGGCTTATTAGAATATAAAATAAAATAAGATACAACTTTATTAAACCACCGCCTTCCCCATCTGAGTATCCCCACTCAAGGTTAAGTACCATCTTTGCAAAGCAGTGGCATATTTTTCTCGCAAGCCAATCAGAGCAGACTGGGCTTTTTCAGGATGGGGGCTTTAACGAGACAGGTGCTAAAATGGAGCGTTTCAAAAAGAGGGTAAATACAGATTTACCACGGTTAATGCCTCTCTGGCCATGGCACGTTCTTTGCAGCCACCTCCACAGTCAGAGGCCAGGTTGAACCAGCGGATGGCGTGCTGGTTAATTTCGTTGTCCGATGGGCTGCTAGCAGCTTGGTTCTTCCGTACAGCCTCTGTTAAGAGAGAAAGTCAATTGGTTGATGAGCTGTCATTAACAGACATTTTGAAAATTACCTGTAAGCCAAGCTAATAACCAACTTTTTGGAGAAATGCTTTAGAGGGTTGAAAAAAGTACTCAATGCCCATGTTTACTATTGTTGGTGTGGCAGCAGACCTAATTTTCTATAGCATTTAATTTAGTAACTCAAAACAAATAGAATTTCACTCATGAATAACTAATTATTAAAAAATCATACTGATTATGATCTGAACAATTATCAAATCACATCTGGATTGTATTGGATCAGCCTTAAATCTCAGTGCATCTTATTATTACAAATTTATCTGTGTGGATTCTGTATCAGGTCATGGATAGGCATTGGCGGGTACCAACATTTCCCCAGTATCTCCAGGCAGAGGACATTTAGGGGAATCACGTTTAGTAAAAAAGTAAAAGCTCTCAATTCAACTCCATGTACAACATTACAGCAAACAAGCTTCTCGTGCTTTTATTTTGCTGGCAAATCTACAAAGAGGAAGTGATTATGTGAGTAACCGGTGCTGTCATGACTGAGATCTATTTCACCACCGCTATCAAAGTATTTTCTATTTTTTATTTTTTGGCTTTAAAGTTACATCCCTGATATATTAAAATATACTATTTAAATTTTTATTTTACATAAAAATTCGTTCTCATCTACTAGTCACCTCCACATATAATACATATACTAAAATACTTACTGATCAACAGAGTTCTTGTTAGCATTTCTTTAAAATATTTCTTTTCCCTTTACTCCTTTCCAATTAATCTGTTTGGCCACTGTGTTTGAGAAAATCATTGAAAGTATATTCCAAGATTGAACAGTAAATACTATTAACAGAATGTTATCTGTGAAAGTTGCTAAAATAAGGATGAAAGAGCACTGTATGCAGATCGGTGGTGAAGTTACTAGTACTAGTTCTGACCAGAAGTCAGACAAAATGTAAAAAGTAGTCAAAACACACAAAACATTTTTTACATTTGACAGTTATGTGTAACGTTACCTGTATCTATATAATCATATGAAAAGGACAATAAAAAGCCTTATTTTGAGAATATTAAATTCAATGAGTTTTTTAATTATTTTAAGACCCAGTGGGTAACGTTACCCTGCATGATAAATGACCCCAGGAGCTCAGCTCTGCTAATGTTACAGGTTTGCACTGCATTGTGATTTTGGAACAAACCCCAGTGGTAGTAACGTTATGTACAAAGCCTGCAACAAACAAATGTGAGGCAAATTAAAAAGAATGAGTAATGCTGATTGTACCACTGCCAGCCATCTCAGTGTACTGATATCATGAACCTCATTGTAATTTTTAACTGTACAATTTGATTAATTACTGAGAACCATCAGCCTCTAGACAAAATAACATTTCTTACAGCTCCTGACAGAAATCTGAGGGTAAACACTTGGTAAGCTTAACATAGCACACTATATCCCTCAGAAAACGCCCCAAATAAATATCCAGAATGAATCAGGAACTGCTCCTCAACCATATTACCGCTGTGTGATTTCATACAAAGTCAATGAAAAGACACGGAGAGAGGCGATTTCCTGCCCATAGACCTTATTTGTCATAATGAATTTACGTTTTGATTAATGTCAGATGAAAATTCCAACTTCTTTAGATGGCTTTGATTTTTTAAACACTTAACTTACCTATCATAACTTTATAACGTTATGCTTAAATATAGCCAAGATTTGAAAATCAAATCAAAGCCAAAAATACTTAAATTAACTTAACTTACCCTATTAATCCCGGGCTCTCAGCCAGGGGTGAAGAAAAGATTGAACCTAAAAAGGAGACAGGTGCTGTCAATTGGTGCTGTTGGAAACAACATCGTTGTAAGTTAACTAACGTTAAACAGCATTAATGTTTTGTGCTAGCTGCACACAAAGTTGTTTATTAATGCTAGCTAGCTTAGCTATCCGTTCATTCAGTTAATTTAGCTAACCCAGCTAAAAAGCTAACGTTAGCTAATGCCTCTTCAACAGTTTTAGCTAGTTTTAAGAAGTTAAAACCCGGTCAAAACATTCCGATGTGATGATGTTAATGATGTTAACAAGCATTACACCACTATTAAAAATAATCTCACTAAACTCTTTGACTGTAACATCGTTCAACTTACCGTTATAAACTCTTTCCCCGAAGCTTCCAGTCCGAACTGATCCAAAGAAAGGCAAACAGTTCGCGTGCTCGTTCCGACGGCCCCGGGCCAGAACAACTACGATTCCGCCGACTGACTTCTGGTCCGGTATGAACCGTTTCGAAAGAAAAAAAAAGAAACAATTCACACGCTCGTTCCGACGAGTCCGGGCCAGAACTATTATGATTCCGCCGACTGATGGATGCTCACGCCCACTCCTGAGTGTACACAGACTACATGCGGGCCGTATCTGGAACGGGGCAGTAAAACGGGCGTGACTGTTACACGGATCTGCCGGTTTGGAGGCGGATCCGGCCCTGAGTCAGCTGCTATCTGGGTTTGGTCAATAACATATTGTTCGGCGCGTTGTGTGGCTTCCCAGGGAACAGAATCTAGGTTTAACATACAACTGTGTTTCTCACTATTCACATCAGCGGCAGCTTCAAGTACTTCTGCTTCAGCAACAGCTGCTGCTACTTCTTTCTTTTGCTTAAGCATTTGTATAGATGCTTCCAACTTAGCTTTTTCTAGCATTAAATGAGTTTCCTGTTCAGCGTAAGAAAGACGTGCTTTTGCTGCTTCTGCTCTTGCTCTCGCCTTGGCCGCTGCAGACCCAGTTGACGAAGTACTTGATTGTACTGAGGAACATGAAGTGCGGGAGCGCATCTTTAACGAGGACGCTTTCTTCGCCATGGTACACTCTGGTAGTGCATCTCTGTTTATAGACACTTCTCGGATGGTCATCCACTATCTGCGTGTGACGACGTTACTCCTGTCTGTCAGCTTACACTGCGTTATCTTGCCTGCTAGAAAGCCGTGGTTTCACTGTACTGTCCTCAGTATATATATTGTATATAGTTTGACAGCCAGCCAAACTCCTTCCTAACATCAAGACTCTGAAGACAGTTGGTCTAGGTTTAATGAAGTTGCAAGGAAAGGTGAAACTGAAATGTACAAAAGCATAATAAATACTATGCTTGCCTTTAAGATGTACAGAGATACAGGACATAAATATATGCACATTCAAACTCTAATATGAATTAAATCTTCTTGTCTTTTTAACATGTGATCAATTATCTGTTCATTCACTCGTAATTGTCCTTCTATGAACTTCCAATATGACTTAAGAACCGTGCAACCATTAGTAATGGCAGATTCTGATATCAAACTTCACAAACGTAAAATTCTCCCAAAATATTCAACTCTGAGGTTGTAAATAACAATAAACAATCAATCCATACCCACGATGCTGCCAAAGGCGTAAGATGTATGCAGATGTCGCTGGATTAGCTAAGATGTAACTTATCTTAAACAACTCCTGCCTGTGCCATGCTCACTTACTTCCTGAACACTAGTCACATGATGTACTTCCTTGTTTCTTAAAGTGACCACAAGGAAATATAGGAACACATAAAGAAATAGTTTTAGACAATTCAGAACAAAGTTTCATTAACTTAGCTGTAACAAAACAAGGATATATAATAGTAAGTTGAAATTACCTCATATTCCATTAAAAGATGTGGAGCATTTTAAGGTTTGAACGGAGAGAAAAAGTTGAATTCATGTTAAGAAAGTGTCATGGAGATTTGAGCTGAAAAAGTTTAGAAACAAGTGTGAAGACTTGGAAAAGTGATAAAAGGTCTAATTAATATGAATGGTTATGGTAATGATTCATGGTTATTACACAGAAACAACCGCAAGTATTTCCAGGTAATCACTATGCCTCTTGATGTTTGGTTTAATCTAATATTACCATGGAATTCAAGAGAAACAGGTAGCTTAGCATTTTACTGCCCTTATTCATGGTTATTACACATAAACTACCAAGTGTTAGAAGGTAAGAAGTCACAGCATATATTTGTACAGTATTACAACAAACAAAAGGGAGAGTTTGAAACACATTGGGAGGATGAATTTCAGCATTATAATATGGCAATTATGAAGTTGGACTTTTTTGAATTTTCATGTGATTTTGAAGATATAACGCTGATATAATATTGTGAAAATATCAACCAATATTACCTCATTATTATCAGGTTATTACACCATTATTTAAACCATATCACCATTTTATAATTTATATCCAGATATTGCAATGATACTTCTTTGTTAGCAGGTTACCATATTGTTTCCAAAATGTTACTATAATATTACTATATAGTTTTTCCTTATTGCTATCTGTAAATATGTATTTTAGCCATTATTTATTATTTAGCCCAGTTTTTGGCCCCTTATTACCCTGTTAGATAAATTTCAGTCTAATATTACCCCCAAGTTCTTACCTAGTTATTACTTTGGAATTTACATGGTATAACTTAATTATAACCTCTTTATTAAAAAATATTAATTCAATTCAATTCAATTTTATTTATATAGCGCCAAATCACAACAACAGTTATCTCACAGCGCTTTATACCATGTTATTACCAAGCTGTAATGTGAAGCGCTACCACATTATTATTATTACTAAGTTAAACTGCCTTTGGACACTAAAGACACAAGTATCTCCCACTACACTGAATTTGAGGGCAAGATAGGCTCTAGAATAGCCCCCATAGGTAGTGGTATAAAAATACACTGTTGCAGAAAGCATTGTAAACTGTACAATCCTGTGTTTTTTGTCATCTCTTGTGTACAGTATACACAGAATATATTGACATGGGGAAAATATATTTTTTCCTTTGTAATATGCAGCACTCCTTACATGATCTTTATAGGGAGAGACAGAAAGACTCCTCGTTCATTCAAAGGTCTAATAGATGACCATGATAATACTCTGCTGCCATCATGTGGCAATGAGCATGACTTACACCCCTGCCACAGCTATTACACACCATCTGTTGTTGGTGTTTCCATGGCAACAGTCTTCTGTTACCTGGTGGAGGTGAGAACCAGGTGAGGCAAACAACAGAGCAGAGGAGCTGCAGCGAGGACAACAGAACAAACATGAACAGCCTCTTCTCCAGGTACAAGTCAGTGCTTTTATGTTTCACATTATCCAGAGAGACGATAACGATGAGGTAGTATTAACTGATTCCCTGCAGTGGTGGAATGTAACAAAGTACATGTAGTGTACTGTTTACCACTGTACTTACGTACAGTTCTGAGGTACTTGTACTTCACTTTCATTTTATGCTACTTTATCTTCTACTCCACTAAAATTCATTTTGTAATATTTACTTTTTTTAATCTAACATCTGTAGTTACTTCACACATTAAGATACACAATATATATATAAAGATAAAGTTTTTGGTTTGTGACTATGAATTGTTCACGAGGCATTTCCCCTCTAAACCTCTCAAAAGGTTTAATTCAAATAAATATTCCCAACCTAGGGAACTGCTGAATGAAACTACCTAATAGTAGCTGCCACAACAGTAAAATGCTGCTTAAGCAGTACTAACGTTTTAATGACAAAATACATTATAACATTTTAGTCACAGAGACCATTTTCTGCAGAACGAGTACTTTTGATACATTAAGTACATTTACCTGTTAGTACTTAGTAGTAGGATTTTGAATACAGGACTTTTACTTGTAGTGGATTATTTTAATGTTAACAAGCTAGTTTGTTCCTAATATGTTATAATAAAGCACATCCTATTTCCAATGTTTTCTCTTGATTCTATCCCAGTAGGGATGTCCAGGTGAAGAGCATTGAGCAGACGGTGAACCATGCTGAGAAGTACCTGGGTGAGATCTGCTCCCTGCTAGCCTCCTACACCAGGAAAACAGCCAAGCTCAGAGACAAGGCAGACCTGCTGGTGGCTCAACTCACTGAATTCTCCAGCACAGAAGACCAAGAGCTCCAGATTGGCCTAAAAAACCTGGCTGAAGACCTGGCCATGGTGCAGGACTACAGACAGGCTCAGGTCAGGGATACTGTGATTATCCGTGCATCATTCTTTCTTTTTTTTGCACCAAACTCTTTAACATGTGTTTATTGTAATGATGAACACTTTATGTTTGCAGGTAGAGAGAATGGAGATGAAAGTTGTTGCTCCCCTGCAAGCCTATGGAAACATAGTCAAAAATAAAAGGGTCAGTTTGGATACAGATGTGTGTTTCTGATATCGATATATAGACACTAATATCAGTTAATTATGGCTGGCCTAAATCCTGATTATGTGATGACTCTACCCTTTCCAACATCTGTTACTGGTAAAATAAAATAAATGAAAAAAATAAGATGCAAAACACTTTCAGATACAATTTATCTTTAAAGCCTATTTTCTCTTAAAAGTGAAACTAGAAATACTTAAGCAGAATTTAATCCCACATTTGTCTAGCTTGTCTGTCAGTCACATGCTCTTTTTTTGTCAGACTCACGGAAGTGTTCAAATTCTCAGTAAATATTTTTTAAATATTTCCGAGAGACTTTCTTTTGAGCTCACGCATACACAGTTAAGATAAATATAGTTTAGTAGCCTGGGGTCAGCACACCAAAGTTGTCAATCCATAAGGCTTCTAAAACCACTTTTGGTCCCTTGCCTGGGACAAGCCTTTGGTAACCATATTGTCCACAACAACACTGCTCTCATGGTTATGAGGGTGCAGTAACCCCTTCAACATGTAAAGGTTCTTGCAAGTGAGGAATACGTAAACATAAGTCATGCATTTATGCATTTAATCACACAACCAGTGCTGTCTTTTTTCTTTTTAGGACAGTGTTCCACATATAAATACTACATAAAATAGACCGACTGGCCTTTGTGTTGTCTGAGCTGACAGTGTATCTACCATTTAGGTAGATCTGAAGAAGTTCAGCACTGATCTGAACAGAGAGCTGAAGGAGTTGCAGAAACTGGAGAAAATCCGATTGAGGAACCCAGCAGACCGACAGAGCATTGTATCCTTCACAGATATTTGACTTTTTCACCATGCATTCAAATTTGTTGTATGGACTTATTTAATCATAATGAACCACCAACAGGTCATTCAATATAAACTCATGCTATGCAACCAAACATGGTTCAAACCCTCAGAACAGAGGTCCAAAGTTTCCAAAGACACAAAGTCTGACTGTGAAATTTGACGAAGCGTTTCTAAAATGATGCACAAAACATCTTGAATATATCCATTTGATGGAGCCATAAGAACCATGCACTCTCAGGTTTGAATATGTAATTTAGTGTAAACATCAACTAGCTTCAATGAAGAACTGGAAACTGAATATTTATACCTGATACTGTCAGACAGTTTTAACTAAGATGATTTCTGCTAAAGCCCCTTATGGGAAAATAAAAGCTGAAAGTAAAATCTTGAGGATGTCTCTGGATATTTTTTGCCATCCAGGTGATAGTTATGAAATGTAGGTAAAATCAAGGGCAACTGGACTTGGTTGAGGTTGCTTGAAAACATTTTGCCTCTCATGGCTTCTCTGTGAAAAGATTGATTGACACCAGTATAGAGAAACCACCTCTAAACAGGGAAGGAGGGCTGCGACACACCACTTACCATTCCTATCCTTTCATCCCTTCCCAGGGGATTGAACAAACGCTCACATTTGGCCTCATGTCAATGATGGACATTCAGACTTGACCTCAGGTGACTCCAGCAACCAATTTCCCAACAGCTATTTCAGAAGTGTGTCATGCAATTCACACACTGTTTGAATGTCCTTCAGAACTTTTCAGAGGTGCTTGACACACCTCTGAAAGAGCCGTCGGGAAATGTGAGAGGTTGATGGATGTGGACCAGTCTGACATGCTCGCAATAAAGCAAGTGCTTTATTGTGAGCATTATTGTTTGAAGAGGATAAATGTTTTTTTAAAACATCGACCTAATGTGGCAGAGTCCTGTACTCGAGTGAGCAAACCAGGCACAGTGGATACCAGTCTAAAATGATCCTAAAAAAACTTGCAGACCCCTGTATTAAGATTATTTGTTTGTCTCAAGATCTTAAGAAATATATTGCTTTGTCACAGGAAAGCTATTCAAATATTTTGTTATTCCATTTTCCAGTGATTTCGGCATAATTATCTCATGATCTCGAAATAATGACTGTTATCAACCTTTCCCAAATAGGACACAGCAGGTGTGTCCATTGTTGAGGTTGGAGTGGGTGGATGATAAAGGCCTCTTATCCAATTGGCTTGGATAGGTAGTTAATGTGGTGTTTACCTCCTGAGCACAACAACTCTGGGTGAGGTCAACACAATCCAGTTATATCAGTGTACAGTTGTGATAAAAATCTATGTAGGTATATGGGAATTTTTAATATGTTCCTTGAACATACTGTGTAAAATAGACCCATATATTTTACATAAAATATGAATTTTGGATTTGAATATGTTCCTACCTAACCACGTATGAAAATATTGCAATATATTACGTACCA